AMYTYYTTTWTWKTTKKTWTYTKKTWAWTTTWAWTAAGMWAATAAAATTTTATATTCTTTTAAGAATTGAGTACATCTCAGACATCACTAGACAATGATGCCAACACAGTGGAAAATTCGGAATGGAATGACGATGAATGGGACATGGATGATACTTTTGCTGGAGGATCTTACTCTGATGATGATGCTAATAGTTTAGCCTCTTCATGCTCTCTTCCTTCATCRTGTGTGGCACTTTATAGCTTTGAGGTAATTTGTAGCATTTTACATCAATCAGAATTTGTTAATTGTTCTAATATTTTTTGTACATTTTATATTAATTATAATGAATAATTCTATTGTTGAAAGATTTTGAGTTTTATTTCTTGTGTTTAAGGCTTCCACAAGTGAGGAATTAAGTATTGTAGAAAATGAAGAATTAGAAGTTATAGAAAAAGATGGTGAAGGTTGGTGTAAGGTTAGTTGACACCAGTGCTACACGTACTCACTTGAGCACTGCCATACTTTGAAACTAAATCTGGTAGAGTTCAAACACCAAAACATGAAAAACGTTAAACAGTGTACAAAATGGTACTGGATTGTGTGGATTCTTTTCTTCTGTAGAGTGATTGCACTTAAACCATACAACTGTACAAACTAAATAGTGCTATTTAGTTGTATTTAGTAAATCATGCATGCTGTATGCAAATTAAATTGAATTTGACACAAATGAAGCATTCAATACTGTCTTGCTTCAGGACCTACTTAGATTTTGTACAAGTGCGATCACTCTATTGTCTACTCTACTTCAATCTGCTGTTTAGCACTATTAATTTTGTTTATTTAGTACTTTTCCACATCTTGTGTGTTTGCACTTTACAGAATTATGTACATACTTTTTTCAGGGTCGAAACAAGAATGGAGACGTAGGATATTTCCCAGAATCATATGTAGATTTTAAAGTCAGGAAGCGTCCATCTGTATCATCAACTCAGAGTGGATCTATTCATAGTGGTTCTTGTACTGATGGCAGTCTTGGTACTTCTCCAGGTGTTAGCAGTTCTGCCAGCCAGGATCACTCATATAGTAAGTGTAAATTTTACAATGAATAAACCAGTTGACAGTTTGTATTATTTTTAATGAAATAATTGAAATCATAGGTTATAGTGTTTGAAAAAGTATAAAATTCTGAGCAAAATTCATTTTTCCGGCTTTATTTCCAAGGGTCTTGAATGACCAGATTAAACTGCTTCTCAAGCACTACTTCTACTTCTACTTTCTGCTATTTCTATTTCATGTATTCCATAGTGCTACACTGTTCAAATTTACTTGACATATTGTTTTGTATAATATGTGTTAACAGCTGTGGCAGGAGTGTTAGCAACAGTAGTAGGAGTAGTAGAAGTTAATAGTCAGTAATAAAAGCATTGGTAGTAGGAGCAGCAGTACTGTACTGATTGCAGTCTATGGTAGTAATGCYGTACTGTTTTTGATACTTTCAGTTTGTCTTGTGAGAGCACTATATGACTATGAAGCTGTGGGAGATGATGAAATTTCTTTCAATGAGGGTGACATTATAAAAGTAACAAGAAAAGATGAGGATGGAGTAGATGATGGGTTTTGGGAAGGTCAAGTCAATGGTCAGTTTGGAATGTTTCCTTCTCTTCTTGTCGAAGAGATAGAAGGTCCTGAATCAGCTTCTACAACTGCTGTAAATACAGATGATCAAGACTCGATATATTCAGTACCTTCYAGTGCATTAAGAGATGATTATATTGAACTTCCAAAGGGTTATGTCCCTGGCACTAGTCAACCRTCTATTGTAGTGGACAGCTCTCAAAACAACACATCTTACATACAACCCATACGCAAAGCACCAGAACCACCATCCTTTGCAATGGATCGTAGAAGAGTTCAAACTGAAAACTTGACAACAATGAAAAAACCTGACCTTACACAGGGATACCAACGCGCAGCTTCACAAGAGTATCCCCAAGCACAGGCATCGTGGAATTCCAATGTCTCTAGGAGTCTAAGTGAGAACACGTCAACGGCAAATTATGTAAACGTGAATGACTTTGCAGAGGGAAATAGTAAAAGTACAGGAGGAAAGCCACCCAAACCTCCTCCGCCTACGGCAAATAGCAGAAGAACTTATTCAAAGTCTGCTGTGTAGTATAATGRGATTTATRAATAATTACAAACAACTGTTGTCAAGGAGACCTCAGACAGCTTACTAAACCACACAAAGAATGATATAATTGTTGGAGTGAGCTTTTACCATCACTGCTGCTGYTTCCAATGAAAATTAATTGTGGCCCGAGTGTTCCTACATGTATAATTATAGTGACAGTTGGACACAGTCAGTAGAGGACATTATGGTCTAGACTTATTYTATTGACATGATAAATCCAAGTCATACATTTTAAAAATTAACCAGCTCTGGTTGGTAGGCACACTTAGGCAATAATAAAATTGCTTACCAARGCACTTTGRTACTGCCCYWRTTCTAATGCATGATATCCTCAACAGCTGTAAAAAGAGTTAAAGCTAGACTWAGAGTAGGATTCTCTTCCTTTTCACCGTACACATAAATAGTAAATAAATCGCTCTATTTGTAAAAATAAAATATTGATGGGATAGCAACATCATTTAATCATAGTATGATTTTCGGCTTTGAATTTGCATTGAATTTAACAAATTAAAATAAATATTAAATAGTAGTACAAGTCTCACCAGAGAGTGGTTTTCATAAACCTGTGAGAAACAATTTTAGGCATATTGTAAATAGTTTTAATTCACAAATTTTAGTTTACAGTACTTCTTTAGGACAAAATTAGGAAGTTCATTTCACGAGTTAATGACAACCACTCCTACCAACCATGATGCATGCCTTATTTCCATAATAATAATAATAATAATAATAATAATAATAATAATAATAATAATAATAATAATAATAATAATAATAATAATAATAATATTATTACTAGTGATATTATTCTTTCTTATTAATAGTCATACTACAAGAAGACCGTTTCATAATTTGTTGTTGGTGTAATTATACTTTTCAAACAGATATGTTCAGATCAATTTGGCAAAATTATATTGCTCGTTTATATATTTAATTGCTATATACATTACAATGAATTCTTGGGTTCCTACTGTTAAGATACAGTAAATTTCTARAATATAACTAGTTAGTTGYTAAATGATACCAGAGTAGTTTTAGTGTTACTTGTTAAGTTGTGTGTAGTTTTTTCTTGACATGTTGCAAAGTTAATATTCCCTGTTGAACAGTTTAGAGYGCCTGTTCTTGAACCTATTTCATCGGTTCATTGTCTTATAGTATAGGTAACAATTTTGTTGTTGTATTTTTAGGGACGAACTGCACGACAACTGAAACAATGTTATTGTACACCTTAGTACAAATTTGATGTGTTTAACTGAAAATATTAAGTAGCAAGTTGCTAAATGTTTTATCATGATAATTATGTACTGGACTAGGAAACATCAGCATCATATGCTAATTTCTTTTATTTCTTACAAGAAATTTAATTCTTGAGGCAAGGAATAGTCAAGCACTTTCCCATGATGCTGGTCATCATGTTGTCTCACTGATAACTATAGTATTGCATATTATCTTCAGTTAAAAATCTTTGATTAAAACAGTTATATGTTTCTTGTCTGCAGGACATGKTAGTGATCCTTTTAAAATAGTCAAAACAATGAATTACAATTTTGGGATGAATATTTTTTGGGGGGCCACTATTTTTGGTTCYTAATCCCATATTGTCTTTTCAATTAAAAGCAATCATTTAAAATTGAGTGATCCCACATCCCCGGGTCATAAAATAGCAACGTCGTCATAAACTCAATACGAACCGACGGTGTTCGATGATTGTGTAAAAACACAAATAAAATCGGTAAACCAAAACAAAATGACCTGTTATTGATTGGTCCATTTTAGGGTTGAAATTTCAGCACTGCCAAATCCCACACACCGTGTTATGACCCTAATATTRCYCAAACCCAACTYRTWAAGTACAAGTTGCCTCCATATTCTTTGAGTACAATCGTGATTGGGACCTGAGGTATGAACCTTCTGGGAATGCAGGGCTAGCCTCAACTTGGGGACAATGTAAATTGTTRCCGCTWCYGTACTTACAACATTTTCTCATGCTTTCTTTTTTGTGTAAGTTCTTTGCAAAAGAAAACCTGCTGTCAAGTAAAACAGTGGCTATTTGCTTTGAATTYGAAAATGGAGTATTGTCTTATACCTTTATAATGCAATTAGGATAAGTAACAAAAATCCAATTACAWATAATTCATGGTAGTTAACCCAAGTGGGCCYAAAAGTRCAGTGARGTAAGTTGGAAATGGCAGTTAAGAGAATGCGAGATAGTTCTAAACAGTAGCCATGATATGGAGTGCTGTTTTGCCCATAAAAAATAAACATGTAATAAAAGGATTTTTTTTGTTATTGTGCATACTTCTTTATTTCTTTCAGTATAATATTATTTACAAAATATTTTTATTCCGTAAMATTTTCTTCCATTACCACGACGGTCATCAGAAGATTTATTAAAAACTAAGAAAACAGGATTGAAATGCTAACCATTGTTGATAATTGCCACCCTACAAGCCTGTTTGGAAAATCTCCCTTCAAATTTAACATAAAACACATTGGCCTTCAAAAATATTACTGAAATTTTACTCATAAACATGATGACTTGGTTCTTGACATCTAGTATATTTTTGTAGCATTTTGATYAGTAGAAACAGTGATGAGAAATAAGACTTATAATGGATTCTGCAACTTCAGTGAATGCACAGACTGAAAATGTATTAATTAGTAAAATTGTACTTTACTAAGGGTTCACAAATATAAGTCTAATTTGTTAGTAGAGTGARCCCATTTAACCTGAAGTGGCACAGCCACTATTCTTTATGAAAACCATTTACTCTTGTTCAAAAATAATAGTTCCAAGAGGTTTTTTAGTATAATTTCATGTATTAAGTGCACTATTATATTTTTTTGTGCAAGTAAATGGTATTCAATGGTCAATTAAATGATGCTCCACTTTAGTTGCAGAATTTCTACAAAATTAATTGACATGTGCTGGACTTGCACAATTTCATGTCTTAAGTATAGTGTGTTCATTTWAATATTAAAACCAAAAAAAGTTGCCAACTGACATTCTTGAGTATTAGAATAGGATTTTGCACTACAAAAATGGACATGTGTCTGTGTGCTTCAAAGGACGGTATGAAATTAAATAACTCTGGTAATATTGCTAACCATAAATCAACCCAACAGTCAATAATTTCATCAACAAGAGCTATACTTCAAATGTTACTAAAGGATAAAGGTCTGCATGGAAATTCAGGCCAAAGACTGCTGGTTGAACAAGCATTTGAACTTGTTTATAAACTAACCAAACCCTTTTTTCATTGTTTCAATTTAAGACATTTTGAAAAAAAAATTATGAATTCGATTTAATTTTTTTGAGTAATCTATTTMGTTCTATTTATACAACAAATATTATACATAAAATATTATAGTTCTCAAAATTCCATCTTGGTGTTGTTGGTAAGGTAATGAGAAGTGATCAAAGTGTTCGCCAAGCATTGGAAAGGTTGATAAAACTGAAGCTAATAAATACAGGTCTTTAAATATAAATTGGCTCATTTGTGTGTAAAATTTCATACATTGATATGTGTACGACTGGAAAAATTAAGAAACTGACGTATGTTGTGAAATTAAGCTTCAGAACCTACATTAAACGATGGAGAAAGGGTGTGGTTAGTTTATGATAATATACCAGAAACGATATTCTATAATTTACAGAAATATTTTTCAGATTCTATATAACTATGTACAATTCAATCTATACAACAAAAATCTAATATATACAATACATAGCCTGTGTCACATCCACACAAATTGCAGTTGTAGACTCAATAATACACTGCATATAAGACAATCAGAYAAATTATGTCATTATATATCTTATMCACAGGTTGCTAAAGTTGATATCGTCGTTGTTTCGATGTGGTTACAGATTTCTTTCAGGCGTTCAAGGCAAAGTTTTCTTCTCTCCACATGATCAGCTATTGGCTTTGGATAATCTTGGCCAATGATACATTTTGCACCTCTCTGGATTCCCTCTGGAGCCATCCAAGGGTGGAATATGTATTTAGTTGGCATAGTTCTCAACTCAGGAACATATTTCCTTCAATAGAATATTGTTTGTTGTCAATATTTAGCACTAAAAAAGCAACACCTTTTCATTGTTTTTATAAACAGAACTGAATGTAAGTCAAGAAGTCTTTCTGACATTTTTGTGGAGTGAACACAAAAGACACAGAAAAAGGAAATTATTGTCTMCCCATTTGCACCTTTTATTCACACAAAAGTTGCATTTTTTAATTCAGTGATTTCTGGAAACAGTGAGATTTGTTCAAGTCTCATACATGCACATGCCCAGTAGGCCAGAACAGAATAAATGCATYATTTTGTGGATTGTGGGTGAATATGATTTGCAAAAAAAATAAAACCAAAACATTCATTATAATGGAGAAATGCACAAGAATCTTGAACTCCAACAAGTCTCACCTGATGTAGTTTCCAGAKGGATCTATTTTCTGGCCGACAGTGACAGGACAAAACCACGGGATCTGACTGTGAAAGAAYGCACTACATGACAACCACAGCCAATTCCCTGCATTTACACTCCATTCTGCATCAAGCTGCAGCTCCTCAAAAACCTGAAAACATAATTACAATCAATTCAAGAAATTTCATTAGGAAGCTATATATTATATTCAGGGCTCATCAAAAAAAACAACAACAAAAAAAACAGGTCAGTACCTATAGAAAACCCGTTTACTGCCTTGTATATTAAAACTATTATTCAATGTTTTTATTAGCAGATAAATGTTACCAAACATACCTTGAATCCTTCTTCCCAGCTTATCCAAAGACAGCCTCTTGTCAGAAAACAGCCCACTGCCTGGCGTGCTATGTGATGAATCCAACCTTCTTGCCTTAGTTGTCTCATAATTGCATCAATCCAAGGGAAACCAGTCTTACCCTAAATTACAGACAAAGCAAATTTCAACTTAAWTTTTCCAGTCAACTTTGATACAAGGAATGATATTTTGATAATTTATAATGAGTATTAATGGGAGACTGTTTTCATTTGATTCATGGCAGCATAAAAATCTGGATATTATAAGGCCATAAGGAGGGGTTCCATTGAACAGAACAAGATGTTGTTTCCTGGAAAACCACCAAACTATGGCTATAACTACTTTGTCAGTTCTAAGTCCAACAGAGTCAAACCCAGCCATATGTAAAGTGTTCAAGCTATGTTCTGATCTTGGCTTCCTTGAAGAGACGCCAATAAAACAAGTGATGGTGAAACTACTCCAATGAACTTTGAAGGAATAAATATCATTGTCCCAGGCCATTTGATTGAATAATGAAGAGAACTAGCTATGAAAACTAACTATTGTAAACCAAGATGTCCCATCATTTACCTCTCTCCAGCAATGAAGCATTCTATCATTGTTTTCCCAATCAATTTGAATACAAAGAGGATTTTGCTTCATTGAGTCCATATTCGGATTTCTACTGGCCAAAGTAAAAAAGAAATCTCTCCAGACCAGTTGACAATACAGAGACATTGGTGGAGGCTTGCAGTTCATCTAAAAATGTGCAATAGTTAGATSTTTGTCTTATAATAGATACTGATATCAATAGAAAGTTTGGGTGTGTATGAATTCTATTTTTTTCCATTCGAATCAATAACGAGAAGAGAAGAGAACACCAGCTTTGGCTATGCATCAATTGGAACAGGCTTCAAATTTCAGAAAACACAACACACTCTACATGTATTTAAAGTTTGCAATCTAATTAATTGGCAATTAATGTAGAATAATGTAAAATAATAATTAATTGTATGAGGAAGTAGCTGATCCCATTAAAGATTAAATACTGTCTGATGAGTGCGTAGCACGAAACTCGGAGTAACAGCAAAATCTTGCCTCTTTGACTGATTATATATATAAAATAATAATTATTAAATAATGTGTAAATATGCATATTTTCTACATCCAAAATTCACATCAATTTAATATGAATTCAAATCAAAATGAATTAACAGACAGCTAATTGATAAACAATAAGTCTATGGTTCTTACTTTTATGTAAGCYGTTGTAAGTCTTTTGTAGTAAACTTTAGGTGATACACATCCAAACCTCAAGTACGGACTGAGTTGTGTCCGAGATGGCAGCAATACACAAGACGTTTCTTCAGATGACTTGCGACTGCTTGGTATCAAGATCTAAAAATACACAAACTCAAGAATTGAATTGCCATTACTCATAAATAACTCAGTAATTGTTTAGGCATGAACAGTCTATTTTTTGTAAGCTCAACTAGTGTCTCATTCAAATGTCTCTCTGAACTGTAGTAAATTGAAGAATAGGCAAAATACTGGAAAATATGTACTTTTTCTCACAAACATTACACTGTGAACCACACACTGTTTTAATGATGCTTTAATCTATAATTCACCTTGTGTTCAAGTTCTGTTAGTCTCCTAAGAGCTTCTGATTCACCTCCAACCCACAAATCACCACATGTCACTTGATCTTCACTAATACTCAATTCACTAAGTGAAGGCACTCCATATCTTTCATCATGTGTACTGGTTACTGGACAAATGCAGGTACTGAAAGACTTCCTATCTATAGAAGCCACGGGGTTGTCTGGTGGTCCAAGCTTGCGAATGATGCTTTCAAAGTGCTTGAACAAAGTGGGGCACTTATTGTCATTTATTTCAACAATCTTGTCAATATCGTAAAGAGTGTGCGAAGATTTTAGACACATTTCAACTCCAAACTCCTCAGCAAGAGATGCAATGGCTTCATCTCGCTGTTGCCCAAAAGGTTCACACTCACTTTCAAGAGTCAGTTTTGATATGTTCCACTCTTGGAATAATTGAGGAAGTAGCGTTGTAGGCTGTCCACGGAGAACGTGAAGTCTTGTGCCACATTTCTTCAGGGTGTTATCCAAATCAACAAGACACTGAAGAAGGAAATTCCATCTGTTTGGTGAGACTTTGGCAGCTTTGATATTAACAGGGTCAAAAATGTAAACAGCGTAGAAAGAACGACAGTCTTGCAAGGCCTCAAGAAGAGCAGGATTGTCATGAAGGCGAAGATCTTTTCTGAACCAGTGGATCACATTGTGTCCAAGTCCAGGTGCATTGGAAACTGGAACAAGAATAATAATGACATTTCTTACTCTGAGTATCTTGTAGTAGACTTAATTCAAGATATGTCCTCATAGACAAGCAAAGGACAGACTTGGTTACAAATGACATTATAAAGTAGTGACAACAATGTACTGTAACTTTCTGCACTAAGCCCAATCTGCCACTAGTCCACCAACATTCAATGCATTCAATGTGTTTTAGATTTTTTTGTATATATATGGAAAATGAGACAACTTCAAATATCCATTCACAATCCATTTCCATCTGTTGGATTTAACGTCAATTCTTACAATATCTCCATTCACGTAACTTGAAGAAATGATACATAGAGTCAGTTTTTTAATATGGTCATTACCATTTTTCTAACCCAAAGAAAAGTTCAAAAGGGATGCCAGTGGATCATGTCCCTTTAAGATGAATGTAAATTATTGTAACTCTACCAAAAAAAATACAAATTTGTCACTCTACCTTTGTTGACAAGACCAGTGAAAACTTCCCTCATTCTTGAAGAGCAGATTTTTCTTGCTTGCTCAGAATTTATGATATATGTAGGGTAATCCTCCCCAACAAYGCACCCTGCTTTCCTTTGGAGATCGCTGGGAGCAAGCCATGGCTCAAAAACATACTCTGTTGGAAGATGCTTCAGTTCGGGTACATATTTTCTAAAAAGAAGTTCATGACATCTTAGCAATAACTTTAACACAAATCAATCAGTATTTCTTCAAGGTGTGCAGTTCAGAACAAAAGTAGACAAAAAATTATAGAGTACATGCAAGGTCTAATACTATTGTACTAATACATGTACATTGCTATAACATTGTTTTTCAAATGTCCCCCAATCTWCTAGTCTGACAGCCCAATGTAAATTGTTGTTGTTATTCTTATTGTTGCTGCATCTTTTGCCTCTGACTATTTGCCTACTTCTCCAGCTATCTAGATTATAGTTAAATGCTTACCTGATGTAGTTCCCTGTAGGGTCAATTCGTTTTCCAAAGTTTACAGGACAATACCAAGGTGAAGGTGTACTGTTAAAAAATGCACTGCATGACAAGGACAACCAACCACCAGCATTCAAACTCCATTCAGCATCAAGTTGAAGCTCTTCAAATGTCTGATGAAAAAAAAAATCCTGTAAATTCTAGCTTCTTTWAACTTCTTGTCAGATCAGAAGCATGAGGGGAGGATATATTGATGTAACAGCAGATGTAACTACAAGCAGACTACTACTACTACTGGACTACTTTCTTGGAGTTCTATGAAAACTAAATTACAAATATAGTCACCATAGGTGAATAAAACTATTAACCTTGAATCCTTCTTCCCAGCTTATCCAAAGACAGCCTCTTGTCAGAAAACAGCCCACTGCCTGGCGTGCTATGTGATGAATCCAACCTTCTTGCCTTAGTTGTCTCATAATTGCATCAATCCATGGGAAACCAGTCTTACCCTGCACGAGAGAAAATGCACTTGTTGTTAAAGTTAACTTAAGCTTATGAGGGTTTTATTAAATTGGAAATAGATCCTTGGCTGTTATCAAAAAGTAACTCTACGTGAATCATAACTGGGCTACTAGTACTGCAACCATAAATTGGCAAAAGAAGCCAGCCCAAAGTTCAATACTATGTAGACACACGACTTTCTCAGTTACCAGCTTCTAATAAAAGCCCTGAGTGAATTAGTGGCAAATATAACATAATTTCAATTAATTATCTGAGACAATCATTACATAGTATCATCGGAATTGTTTAAAATCAAAGTGTTGTTTACCTCTCTCCATCTTTGCAAGGCATTAGGATCTTGTTCCCATGGAATAGGCAAACAAACACAGTTATCACACATTTTGTCAAGGTGTGGGTTTTTACTGGACATAACAAAGAAGAATTCTCTCCATAGCAAGCCTTTTTGAATACCAATGCACTGTAAAGGATCACTTGCCTAACAATAAGAGGCAAATGGATTAATCTATAATAAACTACTGTACTTTTCAAAATAAAGTGTAGCTAATAGAGGAGAGAGGGGTTGAATGATCCAAGATGACGAAATTCATAAATTTGATACAATACAGCTGTCTGACCAACCATTTAAAAGATATGATGAACTTAATGATGTTGAGTGGAAAAGATTAAACGTTGAACACTTGATAATGCATGCAAGAAACAATTAAAAAATCATACCACTTTACAGATTCGTGTCATCTCGTGGAAGATAAGTCGAGGTGATATACATCCAAACCGCATATATGGACTCAACTTTGTACACTTTGGAAATGGAGAGTCCTTATCACAGCTCTTACCATCTGCTGAAATCTAATCAATAATATTTGGTTAATGTAGATGAAAACTAAGTGAGTCTTGCTGGAGTTGGTTGAGTAGCATGCACATGAGACTGTAAGTAAGTACATACAATAACAGCTCGCTGTTTTAAATCCTTATACAGATCGCCCGTGAATATTGTATATTACTTATGAAACGTTGAGGTGAGGTTAACTTGCTCAGGTTTTTAAGAAACTTTGAAAAAAATTCAATCTGACTGAGAAAATCAGAGTTAAAGTTTATGCAAATGAACAAGAATCTGTATGTGGATTTACAACTCTCTTCATGGGCTATGATTTCTATTGTGTTTTGCCTTTATGAATATAAATGAGTTTTATAATAAGCTATACAAATTGTGCTTTATTTTTTTATTGCCGTGGTTCAAGGTAATTAAACCTCTTATTACTTGATTTAAAAGTTTTTATACAAAAACAAATGCCAAATAATATTTAAGATCTGACCATTGTAGCTACTGCAAAATTCCCAGAAGGGAATGTTAAACAATTGCTWTTCAATTCTATTCACGGTACACTAACAAATCTCAACTGCAAGAGACAAAAGACTTTTTGTTGATCAGTTCTCATTGAATGCTTCAAGCTACTATATTTATCAAATTGTTGAGCTTAGATTTATCAAAACTTTTGATGCTAAGTAGCTCTTACCTCATTCAGCAAGTTATCCAGTTGCAGYAAAGCTTCTGTTTCACCACCCTTCCACACTTGTGAGCCATTGGCAAACGAAATACCAAGTTCCTCGTAAGARGGAATTGCATAATCATCAATTTCATGCTCTTCCAGGGGGGTAACGCAAGAACCGAAAAATTCCTTGTCTACAGTTTCAACACATTCTTGCGGTGGGTTGGCCTTYTTGAATAATGCACAAAACTGCTTGAATGTGATTGGCAGCTCTCGATCACTATCCTGAAGCCTGAACAGAAYGTACTTTTATTAATTATAATTGGCATGAATAACTCTGTAGGATATGCATGCTTCTCACAAAATTATGACCACRAACTGCTGAATCATTTCAGAATTGATTGTTTTCTGTATTACAGTTACTAGTAGTAAAACTTATCAATAATTCATGAACTATTAGTCCATTAAGGAGCCTATATTTGGTGATAACTTGCATGCAACAGATGACTATTCAAAATGTGATCTATTGTATGCAGTATAAAAATGATACATATATATTWACTATTTACTTAACAGTTAATTCATCAATTATTCATGCTTATTAGTGTTAGTATTATATAGGACAGCCTGTGGACACACGGACACCTCATACTTAGAGCTCCTGTATTACATGAAATATTTATTTGAAGGCATGGTTTTGTAACTGGCACTGTAATGATTAAAAGCTTGACTTTGATAGAAACTGTCAACCCKCTCTAATCTTGATGGATGTTAAATGTTTGGCGTTGAGACCTATACAAGCTAGAAGAGCAAGTCGAAAGAGAAATCGAGAAAGAATGTTCATGAGCAGGGAGTGCATATTTTGATTTGACAACATGATGTGAATGAACTTATCATGACCTGTAGACCATCCTAATCTTTCATAGAAATGCAACGAGTTAGGATAATGTAACATTATGGGATGCACTGGTCAAGTGGCATTCTTCGCCTTCAACACACCCCTCCTCCGCCCCCCCACCAGACGTTCTGACAACACTCTAGTTTCGAAATCTTATTTGTGCAGCCTTAACTTTGAAAGCATGTAATATATTATTTTTATTAAGCAGAAAATCTATGGTAATGCTAAAAATCTGAGTACAAAAAGACAAGAAAAATTATGCTCGATTGCAGAAGATAAAGTGCACAACCGGMGTATTTCGTACTATAAAAACGAATTTTACCCAGCTATTTGCCTCCAAAGAAAACTATACAATTTTATTTAGCTAGTTTCTTCATTAGAATATAATTTGAATCATATTAAGAGCCAACTTTTTCAATTTATCACCGTGTTTAGCTTAACGCTTATGCAATAGTCATCGAGGCTTCTTTATCCTAAGCTTAAATCAGGTTCAGATTTATACTGGAATTTCTGAAGCTTGTAGATCATCATTTAACTTGAAATAGTACAAATTATTCCAAAAGTATCTGGACTACTTACTTTGAAATGTCGTAAAGAGTATGTGATGTTTTAGTTATTACTTTAACTCCGGCTTGTTGGGCTCTCCTTGTCACAGCTATGTCACGACTTCTGGGGAAGGGTTCGCTGTCRTATTCAAAAGTTAATTTCGTTATGTTCCACTGTTGTATGAGTTTAGGCAAAACATCGATGGGTTGTCCTTCGACGATAAAAAGTCTAGAACCTAGATCCCGTAATCTTTTATCTAAATCGTGAAGGCATTCCAACAAAAATCGCCATCGATTCACCGACACACTAGCGCTTTTGACAGTCGATTTGTCTAAAAAGAAGATGGCCCGGAAGGTTTTACTCCCTCGAATAGATTCTCGAAGCGCTTGGTTATCATGTAGTCTTAGTCCTTTTCGAAACCAATGTAGAGAATTATCCATTTTGTCCAAAATTCACTCCATGATACATTTTCACAATGTTGTTTATCGTGACTCACCCGTGTTCATGGTCCTTCGATGTTTGCCTTTGACGTGATTGGTGGAAAAGATTTTGCATTTACACGTGACCGAAAGCGAGAACGTTTCTGGTTATACAACAGGGTTACACAACGCTAAAAATCACCTTCAAAATAAAAATTATAGACAAGTTTATATATTATTTGACTTTAAAGCCTACTAATATACAATGTGAGGGTATATACCATTAGTTTTAATGGCCAGCATAAGCCCGGCCATATAGCTAAGTACCATAGAATCGCAATGGMTAAAAAGATCACGTGTACAATGAAGTTTCGATTCACATGTCACGTCGACTATGCAGTGGTCCACATAAGCACGTGTRSKCTGCGGGGTCGGTTTTGGCTGCGTTTGCAGGAAACACGTGTATTTGCGAAAAAAGAGGAACAAGAGTCGGTGAACCAGGAAACTGGTAGTTTTGATATGAAAATTATAAAAGTTTTTAAAAATGGACGGATGAATAAATGGCATGGATGAATGGAAGCATATTTGAAAAATAAATGAGGAAAAAATATTTAAATAGATAAATAAGCAAGCAAATAAACAAATGAATAAATAAATATCGATAATATCCTGTTTTGAACAGTAAAAATATAGAAAATATTTATCATTTATCCGTTTGGCTGTCTCATAACACGTTTCTCCGACTTCTCCGATACTAAAGTCAAAAAATGCCCCTTTCTTTTTCTTATTTATATATATTTATAGGTTTTATATAGTCCTTTTATTCTAATTAGTCTAATTCTTACATTGTAATCAATTAGTTAATGTATATTATAGTTTTATTATTGTTATTATTATTATTATTATTATCACATTTTTTTTTAATTAGTATTGTACGCAATTTAGCAATTTAGCAATTTTTGCTACCATGTACATAAATAAAGCTTCTTCTCTATTTTCTATTTTTACTTTTTTGATCAATCATTTTTTCGTTAGCTAAAATGGCATTTTTGACGGTCCTCCTCCCCATTCCTACTCGGCCCCCMAGCAGGAACGCCTGTTAGCAGGCTAGTGACGCCAGCCTAGTTGTCCTAGTTCGATGGAGGCCTTTCTGCTGTGTCCTATCTTATTAGTATGTTAACTGCAGACTTCGGACGCACTGACAGACGGAAAATGTTGATAACAAAGCAAAGGAAAAGGTTCCTAATCAAATGACGATTTTGAGACGACAATACTAGTATCACAAAATATGAAATAACAAAACTGCCAACGGGTTGACTTTATAACTTCCGTTTAGCAACGAAATTACCACAACTTATTATAGTTCTGAATWTCAAACAGTATTTTCACTGTTTGTAAAAATTTTAAAAAATAACTTACAATGATAGTAATAAAAAAATATCATATACTGTACTGATATTCATGCTAAGAAAATTACTCAAGCAATATTATTTGTTTATGATGCGTCTTTACAGATACTTTCAAATGTATTTTAAATTCCGTGTGACGCTCGCTATATTTATCAGGAGGGGGGGGGGGCAACGTCTAAAATTAACTTGAACTGTAATTGGAAACTGAAAAGTCAACGGTGTCAGATCCTGTGCTTTTTTGGCCAAATACTTATTGAATTGGAAAACTTCCCAAGAAAGGCGTGAATAATAAATAAATAAATTAACGAGGTTCGAAGGGGGAAGGGGGTGGGGGATAGAGTAAGTTATTTCTTTTGCGAGGGGGGACCGTAATTCAATTTTTTGATTTTTGGCTCATTTCTCAATCCCTCCCCCTCCTGGCAAATATTGCGCAGTCCATAAGCACTATCCTGTCAAAAAAAAAAAAATCTAAAATGTCTAGACAAATGATTTAAGTTCATAAGCATAAAAAGTATGACTCATCTAGATTCCACGACGCAAGTGGTAACGCTGATGTTTCACTTAGGTTAGAAGGAAAAAAACAGCAACAACAAAACTGAACCATGCAAATATAAACTATGAAATAATAACAAAACACATTATCAAATACATTTCTTTTTACTTGTTTATCTTTAATTCATTAGATAACACTTTCATTATGMTGTTTCTACTCAGAGAATGCTATTCCCACTAACTTGAACCACAGCAGCCGTGAGACTTATGCGCACTTGCACATTTCCGAAGGGCAATGCCCRACGGCACAGTTCGCTTTACACCAATCGTCCATCGCCTGATTGCCTTGCCACACCCCAGTTGCCAGACATACTTTTTGYGGGGGCTTCACATCACCACCGCCAAGAGCAGCTTTAACCGCATTCATTAATGGCGACTTCCCTTCACCRCATACATTTTGAAAATCATCCAAATCGATGGCCCAGAACATCGCTCCCAAGAGATTCTTTCCTTTGATGAATTTGTCGGTCTTAAGCTTCAAGCTGGCAACATTATCGTAGGCTATCCACTGATCACTGTAGAAGCCGTATGGTGCTTGTAGGGTGCTATCTTCTACAACTTTCAGTGGGAGCTTACATATCTCGTAGTAGCTGAGAAAACCTTTTTCCTTGGTGTACTGTCCAGCCTTTCCAGCTCCTGAGATTGGTGCACCAAGACTTGTATCACTAGGATTGGATAGCTGGAATGATCTTCCATAAGTAGCCATACCTAAGGCTATCTTCTGACAAGGCATGCCTCGGTCCATCCAATACTGCAAGGTGTATGCRACAGTGTTCGTTGCTCCAGGTGAGCCGTTTAAACCTGAATGATGTCCAGTTACCTTATTCCAGCTCCCGTGCATATCATAAGTCATTAGATTGATCCAGTCCAGTACTCCAGCTAGCTTGTTCACTTCATACGCGGAGTCCACGATGTTGTGAGGTGCTGCCACGGCTGCAGTTAGAAGTAACCGCGGAGTTTTACTTGCATAAGCGTGTCTTTTGAACGCGTCAAGAAGTTCTTGGCATAAGACGGTGAACCGCTGTTTGTCCTCGGGGGGTGAGTTTCCACGGTGGGCGGGGTAYTCCCAGTCGAGATCCAACCCATCAAAACCGTACTTCGTTAGGACAGAGATACTGGAATCGATGAAGACTTTTCTGCTGSCTGGATTTGATACCATCCTGGAAAAGGGACTAACTGCACCACCTTCGTGGGTCCACCCACCTAACGCAAGTAGAGTTTTTAACTTTGGGTTGGTTTTCTTCAGATTGTTAACTGCTTGGTACAAYGTGTCGTCATTCGATTCATACATTCCAAGAGTATTGTCGTCGTTGATCTTTGCAAACGAGTACATGATATGGGTGCAAAGGAATGGATCGATATCGGACGGAGTAAACTTCATGGGTGCATCTCTGTATTGAGCCCAATTGGTGAAGTAACAGACGCGGTAATATGCATTAGATGCTGAAAATAGAGCAGCTAACGCCAAGACAATTGTYARCCACTTCATCGTGCAATGAAATGACTGAAACGATTTTCATGTTGTCTGTAGAGCATCCGACATGCACCGGCTGCGTGTAGTCAATGCAGCTGTATAAAGATGACACGATGTATGTCCTTCATGGATGAAAAACATGTCAAAAAAACACCATCAGTACGTGGTTGGATTTCCCAATACTCGGCGAATGATAATTTTATGGTTATAATAACGACTAAAAATCAATAAGGAATCAGGAAAATTGAAGAAAATTTGATAGAATCTTTCAGAGAAAATATTAAAGGATTCTTCTGCCATTCACCCTCTTGCTCCCCCGATCCCCAGGAAATATTCATGCACAAACTACGAAAGAAGATGCAGATTTCTTGAACAGTGATGTGAAACTGATTTGAAATAAGCCTTTCGGATATGGACAACTCATATAACGCTAAAATCAAAGCACAATAAACGCCAGTGCTGCCACRTAGGTTTTCATCAGCGGATACCTATCGTAATTTCCACAAGCATGACATGAAACTCAAATGTTTTATCTGGTCGTTTAAAATAGCTAAGAATTCGAGAGCGCTTTTTAGGGTCTTTTATCCATAACATGAAAAAGCAATCACCGCTGGTGAGCCTCAATTGCATTAAATTAAGAAATATTGAAAAATGTAAAAAATCGGTATGATTTAAAATGGAATTCCAGTTACCATGCTAATTTTGTTACTATTATGTGAATGTTTTTTTCCCTGTACACCGCAATGAAATTAAAAGGGTTTTATACTGGAAAGCGTCACTGTACATGAAGAAGTTTGAAAACCTGGTAAGTAAATATCGATAATACTTTAATTTGTCAAAATTATAAAAGCTTTTAMTAGTTTTGGGAAGCTTTGTGCTGCACACAACATTKACGAATAAAAAATCATTTTCAGTGTAAATTTGATTCATTTGATACTGATGAACAAAACATGAGCGATGGTTGCGAGTCGACATGCGATTTAGCTAAAAATATATTTTAATGCACCTGTGTTGACCTGAATTCACGTCAATGGTTTTTCTTTGCAAAGCTTTGTAAACATGCAACAGTTGTTTCACTCTCGTGTACATTTTCAACAAGTTGTCAAATACTAAATATACACTTTGAACAGGACTTTTGTAATGTTTCAACACAAAACGCGAGAAACGCATTTCTCTAAGTTTCAAATGCATAATTGATAATAATTTGCGAAAATGAAATTGTCGATTTTTGGATAGTAGTGCCCCTTCCCTCCTTGCCACATGACTCCCTATGTGCCATTCTTATATGCGTTTTTCATTTCTATTTTATAGGACTGCGGATAGCGTTAAGAAATAAACCTACAATATAGTTTAATAAGAAAAGTGTAACATAAGACGTAATGCATGAAAAGACAAAGATAAAATTACAAAATAAAGAGAAATAAAGTGTATAGTTGTAAAAATGTATTATGCAATTTTAGGAAAACTACTCTTTCAGAAAACCTTTAATACTGTGGCACTGCACTTCTCGTTGCGCATGTTATGCAAAATGACCAAAATGGCAATTCATAAGTCAAATGGTTTCCAATGAAGTTCTTCAGACTGTACATAGCTGGCATAGTCACTCTTAAACCACGAAAACTTGTTTTGAACRTAGATAGAACGGCCAACAATGCATTTCGGTCTTGGATTGCAATATCACACATCGGTATTGAGAATTCAACGTTTTCTGGAATTGCTGGGGGGAGGGGGGTAGCGGAAGGGCGGAAGATTTATGCACCTTGGTCAATGCGGGTAAAAATGAAATAGARATACGTTGTATTTCGAAAAGATAATATACAAGTAAACTTTGATAGACAAAATATAATCGTAATTGCCGTAATCAAGTGTCTAACCACAGTAGCGTATGTAACCACAGAAGTTACTTTCAGCAATTCATATATATTTGATGGCCGTAATGACTAGGTGTCARGGTGTCCGTAATATTGCAGGGTTTTGTAAAGCGAGAGTTGACTCGGTATTTTGTTGACTCTGACTCACTTGATGTTTGTTCCATTMCACKYCATATCTTCTACTGATGATTGAGTCTTCTCCTCTTAGGCATGGGTCAAACGCGGAAATAAATTTTTGCAGTAGCAAATTCAAGTTTATATTGTTTAACATGCGAAAGTCATTGACCTCGAGTCATTTCCATAGCAGCGACTGTTATACTCACTTAAATCGTATAGCTAGCTGATACCTTTTTGAACGCACATATAATTTTTACACTGAATAAACTTCCATGTGACAGTAAACATTTTACGTTTTAAAAGCTCTTGAAAGATTGGTCATAAAAAGAAATTTGAACATAAATTTAGGAAGGGACGAAAATAAGATTTTTTTTCAATTTACAGATTAAGGGACAAAGAGAAGTTAACAATGGAGTGGCTTTACTAAACTAAACTGACTTGTGAACTCACTTATTGCTCTTTATTTTGCACGTTTTTCTTTCCGGTGTATTACACATTAGTATAATTCAATGTTTAATTGTTTCACGGGCGAATGAAAACTACTCTACTATGAATAATAAACAATATCTATTTCAAAGCAAAGCATCTTAAATGCAAAATAGAAACGTTCTTTGTTTCAAAAGAAATCCGCGATCTTCGTTTCTTTTTCACAGCTGTTTGTGTGAAATGTTACACAGGTGCACCGCCAACACACCCTTTTGATGTCTCACCTGTTTAAGAGGGTTTCAAAAAGTAAACTGTACCGTTTTCGTTTGTTATCGATCTTGTCAGTATGATTTGATTGGTTRAGAGAATGGTTGGCGTCATCCACCTGCGATCATAACCCCTCACAAAACTGTDTTCCATTGACCTATATAAGGACAACAAAGATAAGCAAGACCTCACTGTTCAACAAGGGTTGTACATAGAACAATGCAGTTCTACACACTGTTGCTGTTGGCATTGGCTTCGTATGCCGCAACAGCCAACTACGTACGAGTATGTTATCACACCAACTGGTCTCAGTACAGACAAGGGCGTGCCAAATTCTGGCCTGAGAATATCCCTGCAGATCTTTGTACTCATTTAATGTACTCTTTCGCCAAGATTAACCAAAACAACGAGCTCGCCATGTACGAGTGGAATGACGATAAACTTTATCCAAGATTCAATGCTCTCAAGCAGACAAATCCACAGCTAAAGACCTTACTGGCAGTTGGAGGATGGAACCACGAGAACGCCAACAGTCCATTCTCGCGCATGGTCAAAACTGCTGCAACAAGAAAGGTCTTCATTGACTCAGTCATTCGAGTTTTGAGAMAATGGGATTTCGATGGGTTGGACCTGGATTGGGAATACCCCGCAACCCGTGGAGGATCTCCACCCGAAGACAAGCAAAGGTTTACCATCCTTTGTCAAGAGCTGCTGAATGCATTCATTGCCGAGGGAAAGTCATCGGGACGTCCACGACTGTTGCTTACTGCCGCGGTGTCTGCCGGTAAAAATACCATCGACAAGGCCTATGAAGTGGACAAGATTGCCAAAATTCTTGACTTGATCAACCTGATGGCTTACGACTTGCGAGGGAAGTGGGAAAAGTTCACTGGACATCATACAGCACTAGTGGGTCCTCCTGACGATATCCTAACTGTTCAGTACGCCACACAGTACTGGATTGATAAAGGTACCCCACCCAGTAAAATCGCCCTTGGCCTTGGCACATACGGACGATCATTCAAGCTGGTTGATATGAACAAAAATGGCATTGGTGCGCCTGCAAATGGCAATCCTCCACGTGGTCAATACACCAGAGAGTCTGGATTCCTGTCATATTACGAGATTTGTGATATGATGCCAAAAATGAAGATCACAAAAACAGATGAAAGCGCAGTYAAAGCTCCGTATGGCTACTTGAAGCAGGATTGGGCCTCAGTATGGGTTGGCTATGACGATGAGCGCAGTCTTCAGCTGAAAGTTGAACARGTTATTAAAGCTAAAGGCCTTGCTGGTGCCATGTTCTGGGCCCTGGATCTTGATGACTTTAGCGGCCAGTCTTGTGGAAAGGGTAATTATCCATTGATGACCGCAGTCAAGAAGTACCTTGGAGGTTATAGTCCCCCACCCCCACCAACCAATGGCCCTCAACCACCTCCAACGGACCCACCTGTAGTTACAACCAACGCACCTCCAACTGTTGGTCCTGGCCCCGTGACTCCTGCACCAACCCAGCCTCCAACTGGMGGCAAGTGCGTCGCTATTCCTCCCTATAATGGTGCAGGTATGGATGCATGGTGCGCTGCTAATTGCGCTGTTGGTAACTGTCCAGCTACACATTGCAAGTGCTCATAAATCAAAACAGTGTTAACAATTTTTCCTTTTCGTGTGTGAAACATRTTAAAACCTTTTCAAATGTGATTATAAATAAATGGTTTAGAATGAAAAGTATGGATCTGGTTTCTATTGTACATATGTGGGCAGGGCGTGGATTAGTAGCTGACCTCCCTAGTGGTGTCGTCAAGCTACTGGTGGGACTCGCGTTTATAATCGGGAGGCCAATGGSGTATCTTCGGGCCGAGTACCGGGGAATACAGATTTCAGGCAATTCCCGTACAAAAAGGCAACTAAACAGATTAGTAGATTTCTATTTGATTTAGACGCTAATATAGGCAATGGCTTGAAGCAATTTTGTACGTCAAAATATGTTGAGAGGTGTAGTCCTTGCACTACACTTTTCATAGCGTTAGAAGCTTTTTCATGTTTTCTTTGTATAAACGGTACAACTACTAAAGCAAAAACGTCTGTTTTATTGGCCATTAAAACGTTSTTGGACTAAAACTCCCATCATGCTTTGTCCACAAAATGGAAGCTYCGCCTCCCCGTTCATTGTGTTGTTAAAACTGTGTTAAATCCCCGGTTATAATGTGTAAATACGTAGAGGGTCGGAGTTTCAATTGATTGATGCAYAATGAGACTTATAAATGGAGTGCGAGAGTTAGAATAAAGGATTTTGGTACACACTTTATGAAAATTTCGTAAACTGAACACTCTGATGTGATATTACGAAGACACACAAAACGTTTTTTCATAAAAAACTAAACTTAAGAAGCTTTTAGGACCTTCGACTGGTGTTCCCAGATAGTATTTTTCGCGCATCAATTCTAGTTTTCGTTGCCTTATGTGATTGATAGGTTAAGATGATTGATACGCGTGAATTATGAAAAAGATAACAAAGGAAATATTACAGTATTTTCGCCTAGTCGAGACTGAAGTAGACAAATTGGTACATCAGGAATTCGAATTGGGATAATGTCTATTGGTGGATTTCTTGACATTTTTATTAACAGATTGATAGATGTGTGCAGACGGATACTGCAACACTGAAATGACAAAGAAATTACAGAACTATGATAGCGCTAGCTTTTACTAGAAAAGGGATCAAACCAAAAACAGATATCTCTGCGATCTTATTTATGGGCTGAACCAGAGTTAGTAGAGGGGTCCCCTCTACTAACTCTGGCTGAACAGATGATTATTGTCGTTATTCCAATAGTGACCTGTGAAAACGACAACTAGTTACCTACTAATATGCCGTATATTTTGATTGTTTTTCAGCTACCATTTAGTTACATAGTCTTTCGCGAGTTTAAAGTGCAGTCATTAAACCCGTGAAACAAAACTTGACTATTAAAGTGTGATAGATCAAAATAGATCAAAACGTCAAATAGATCAAAACGAAAACAATGCAAGTTGAGGGTATTAAGACGCATTAGATGTGAAATATCTATTTCACATGTTTCTTGACTTCACTATATTGTAATCACTCTAATATAAGGGTTCTTAATAAAAACGTGTCATAAATAGCGTATCTACACATGAACTAAGTGAGGTACTTCACTCAAGCAAACACCAAATATGCATAAAACTAACTAAAATTGCCGCTGTTAAATAGGCTTTATTTAGTGACATGATGTAAAAATCTCAAAAGAAAATTGCATTAGACCGCTTTCTGCCGTTTCAACTATATCGTATTCCAGATATATTGCAAAAAATCTACGTGAAAATCAATGGAAAACTGAATTTGAATCTTTACCAAAATCTCACCTTTTCCACCTGTACCGGTGCACTCTTAAAAAGTACACTTCGTCGGACATGTTTGTCGGACTAAAACCTCGATTGGTTGAGACTAAGAAAATCTTTGAACAGCTGAAACGCCCCCCTCACATTCCTCAGGCAACTGTTAACAGTCATCTCCATTATATATGAGTTGGCTGACGCCTTATTTCAAAACTCACTCGACGAGAAGCACGATGCAGTTCTTCACACTCTTGCTTTTGGCATTGGCTTCGTATGCCGCAACAGCCAACTACGTACGAGTATGCTATCACACCAACTGGTCTCAGTATAGGCCAGGCCGTGGCAGGTTCTGGCCTGAGAATATCCCTGCAGATCTTTGTACCCATTTAATGTACTCTTTCGCCAAGATTAACCAAAGAAACGAGCTCGCCATGTACGAGTGGAATGACGATAAACTTTATCCAAGATTCAACGCTCTTAAGAAGAAAAATCCACAGTTAAAGACCTTACTGGCAGTTGGAGGATGGAACCACGAGAACGCCAACAGCCCATTCTCGCGCATGGTCAAAACTGCTGCAACAAGAAAAGTCTTCATTGACTCAGTCATTCGAGTTTTGAGAAAATGGGATTTCGATGGGTTGGACCTGGATTGGGAATACCCCGCAACCCGTGGAGGATCTCCACCCGAAGACAAGCAAAGGTTTACCATCCTTTGTCAAGAGCTGCTGAATGCATTCATTGCCGAGGGAAAGTCATCGGGACGTCCACGACTGTTGCTCACTGCCGCGGTGTCTGCCGGTAAGAAGACCATCGACAAGGCCTACGAAGTGAGCAAAATTGGACAAATTCTTGACTTGATCAACCTTATGGCTTACGACCTGCGAGGACAGTGGGAGAGTCRCACTGGACATCACACAGCTCTGGTTGGGCCTCCGGGAGAAATCTTGACAGTGAAGTTTGCTACACAGTACTGGATTGATAAAGGTGCTCCACCCAGTAAGATCGTCCTCGGCCTTGGTACATATGGTAGAGCTTTTAAACTCAAAGAAGCTAAAAATCATGGGCTTGGTGCACCAAAAGCTGATTGGATGAAGGCTAAAARGGGTAAATACACTAGGGAATCTGGATTTCTGTCATATTACGAGATATGTGATGATATCCGCGCAGGMATGAAAGTCGTTAAAAGTGATGAAAACAAGGTAAAGGCACCTTACGGCTACTTAAATACCGACTGGGTTGGCTACGATGACGAGCGCAGTCTTCAGCTGAAATTTGAAGAAGTTATTAAAGCTAAAGGCCTTGCTGGTGCCATGTTCTGGGCCCTGGATCTTGATGACTTTAGTGGCCAATCTTGTGGAAAGGGTAATTATCCACTGATGAACGCGGTCAAGAAGTACCTTGGAGGTTATGTTCCTCCAAACCCACCTCCTTCGCCTCCAACACCTGCACCTCCTACAGGCAATCCTCCTCCACCTCCTCCTCCACCAACTCCTCCACCTCCAACACCTGCACCACCTACAGGCAATCCTCCTCCACCTCCTCCTCCACCTCCACCTCCAACTGAGCCTCCAGTGCCTGGTGGTTGTGTTTCCTCCTCCTCCACCTCCACCTCCAACTGAGCCTCCAGTGCCTGGTGGTTGTGTTTCAGTCCCTCCCTATGCCTCCTCAGGAATGGATAACTGGTGTGTCAACAACTGTGCTGTGGGCTATTGTCCTGCTTCACACTGCAAGTGCTCATAATAACAACGATTGTAATGATGATGTATCGTTTGAAATAAATCCTTGGTTCTGGATTTACAATGCTTAACATTATTTCTTCATAGATTATGTACTTGTTTATAACACATCATTAGCAAATCTAGTCAAACAATTTTTATGCCAACCTAGCACAAATACATGTACTATCATCATTATCTTGAAGTTCCAGTAGGCGCATAAGTCCTTCACTATCCCCTTCCATCAATATCTGTCCTTAATTTGATGCCGTTTTGAGTTTGCTGCAACTCTTCCATCATTCAGTATTGAAAGAATGGGACAATGATTGGATTGAAGTAATACATAGCAAAGACTACATCTATTGTAAGTCAGTACTAGATTCTGTATTGAAATCATTAAGAACCAGAAGCTATATATTTGATTTTATTTGCATGCTAACATAAAGGTCTGCAAACTAGTGTTTCACTGTGAACATTGCTTGTCTACGAATAACCCCCACCCCCCACCCCTCAGAAAAAAAGCACTATTAAGGACAAAACATTTGACTTTTAATCCATGCTTGGGATCTGAATTCCATGTGCAAAAAGCAGCTAGCTTTCTCCTTGACCTCACATGACCTTAAGTATCATTCATTGGAAGATAATAATATCTATATACCAAAAATACCGAATTTTAACCAGTGCAAGAAGAACAACAGAAATGCTCTGAAATACACATTCACTCCACCTGTTAGGGCCATAAGCAGAAAGACAGAAACCAAAGCAGAAGCTTGTTCACACTTGACAGAAGCATGTTTTTCTGCTTATRATGTCCCGGTTCACACTGTCTCATAATCTTTCAACAGAAGCAGAAACAGAAGCACAAGAAAATGAAAGCTTTCATTTTCATTTTCTTCTGCTTCGGTCTCTGCTTCTGTTTTCCCTGGTTTACTCATACAAAATACACTTCTTGTGCTTCTGCTTATGTCACAGTGTGAACCGGTCCGTAATGCAGAGAAACTTTCAGTGACATTCCTTTTTAAACAAAAACATGGAAATAGAAAAAAATGGATAACACTTCGTTTTCATGACAGACATGGCGCCCGTTCTTATCCCGCCATCCGCGGCCTTAGAACAAAGGCATCCCGAACTTATTAAATAAGTAACTAGCTGATTCGCCGTATCTACAATTTATGTAAATATAAGATAATTCWTGACAGTTTAAATTCTCAATAATTACACAATATAAATTTCTTACTTTGTGATGTTGTTGCTGACAATTGATGAGCTTGATTGCTCAGTTAGCTTCGTTTCCTGGATTTCCAGGCTTGCACTGATAAATTGGCCAACGAAGAAATAAACAAGACCAACGGAGATTGGACGTTATTCCAAGTGCGACATGATTACCCTGCGATAAGAGAGATAAAACTGTGCTCTACGGTATAAAMAGGAGACCATTACATGCATGCTCCTAGTAATGAGTAATAGGGCGATAATCGTGTACGAAACTCGCGCCACACTGCTTTCAGTGCAGGCCTGCATAGCCTCATTTTGAGGCCAACAAATATTCAACTCACCGGGGGACGGTACCTTCATTTGATTGTTAAAAACCTACACATTTTAACTTCAGCAAAACGAAACTCACTTTATATTTAAAAACACAACATTATTCGCACTTTTAAGCTACTTAAGAAATTGTATTGATATGTATAATATTCCTGGACATCCTGGACTATTGTTTGGGGGTCCTGTGCCACATACTTCGCGAAGAACTAAGGAGAGGARACGAAAKTTTCAAAATGGCGGACGAAGATATGAAATTTGCATTGGCCATCATTCAATGTTCTGTCTGAAATTATCATGCGTCACATCCGGACTTTTCCGGATACAAAGCTGGTGTCCATTGTAAATATATGATGGTTTTCCCCTTGGCTGTGTGGGCTGCGGAAAGGGCTAAATCATCGGTCAAAATCTGACATTTTCATGTTCCCCTGAATCCAAGTTTCTATTCATATAGTTGCCGGTGTTGCAGTAGGGGCCACGCGGGACTTTCACCAGACAATGGAGTAAAATAGATTGATTGTTGTTTGTGCCAGCGTGTCACTACTGTTGTGTGCCGGCCATTAGCCTATAACTCAAGATAAAGTGATCTTCACTTCATCTTCAAGTCGACCTTTTTCAATAAAATCATTACACATGGATTGAAGGTAGGATGTCATTTGCCAAAGGATAGTTGTTTTGATCTGGTGCAGCATAATTTATTCATTCAGAATGATTTGTCTGCGCGTTATGCTTTAATAACTTTAATTCTCACTCGCACCTTTTTTATTTTTTTTTTTGTACGCTGGCTTGCAGTAAAARTGTAAGGCTTAAGTCTTTAGTTGCAAATTGTTTCCTACAAATTCATTGCTTGAAGTTAGTAACGTACTTCAAATTCATTTAAGGATATGTATGAAGCGTGTGTTTTCAGTTTAKTTCTCACTCTTCCGTTTCTGTCTATAGGGCTCAATGCATAAGCGTATTCAACTATAGAGATCTTGCATGATTCAACGCGTTCGCTCGATACGGAAGTCACAAATCACTCGATCTTTCCCGCCGTCTGTTGTTCGTTCATATTGAAATTCGATCTTTATCATTTCTCTATTTAAACGAATCTACCACATATTTATTAATTTATTTACATCTACTTCTACTCCAGGCGCTTTCAAAGAACCCAGGCCTAAATTGAAAGRATGCCTGAATTTCGTTCCGCTGAGGAACTTGAAAARAAATACGTCCACGAAGTATACAAGGATATAGCACCAGGGTTTATAAACGCTCGTTATAAAGCGTGGCCATTCGTCGAACAGTTTTTGAAAAGACAGCCTGTTGGAAGCATTATTGCTGATGTGGGTGAGTAAAAGAMTGAGAAGAGAGTAAAGAAATGATCATTTTGTAATGTGATGGTGGAAATACGTRRAAATTGTAGGCCTTTTTCATTGCATGCGTCCGTCCATGAATAAATTCTGATTATACGAGAGATATTGTGGAGGGGAACTAGCTGATTGGCAAATTGGTCAATATTTTGATTGCCAGTCTGAAATCCTACTCTAGCTTTCTGTTTTTCCTTTCTTTTCCTTTCTTTTCCACCTAAGTGTAATATTTCTGCTGCAGAATAATTTTTCCATCTTTGTCATAAATTTTTAATGAATATAACTGCATCAGTCAGGAGGAAAGTATACTATGATCAAAAGAGAAAGAAAGAAATGGCACTGAAAATGCTACAATTTCTCATAATTTAGTTGATTTTAAGAAATGATTGCCAATATGAGTTTTTCTAAAATGTYTTATTTGATAATTAAACTAATGTTAGGATAAATAATACTCTCAATGAACAATGAAAACATTGAATGAAAATTTAACAGTTGACAAACAAAGAATATTGAACTCTTTCTCTGGTAATAATTATTCAAATTCAATTTTGGTTTTCATAAGTTTTATGTAGTCATAGACATATTGAGTAGTGAGCAAAGATCGATGAGTATTAACCCCTGCAAAGTCCATTTTAAGGCTTCTTAATTAAACCAATTAAGGTGGTTTCGATAAGAGTCGCAGATGCCATTTTAGGYTAATTGTGTGGTGTCATGAATATTCATTAGTATGATGAAGGAACCTAAACTGCCTTTCATCATATTAAATATTATTTTCTTTAAGGATTTTGCCTGCAGTATTGMAATGAAAATCATGGCATTAGATGGTTTTAATGTTTGAAATATTTACAGTCATTCTAAGGAACTTGTTGCAATTCCAACTATATTTCTTGCTCTTGTGGTATTTCATGTGGGGTATATATTATTACCARCACCCATTTAGACATTACCTCTCTGTAACCATAACAAAACCAACTACAGAGAATGATCATGACAGCTGCATATAATTAATGTTTTTTTATTCAAAAGATGGTCTCTTATAATGAAAAATGAAGTGACTTAATGTACTGGTGGAATAAAGATAGTTGTTGTTTTTTTTTTTAATGGGGCAATAATTGCCTCGCAATGCCAAAGTATCATCTTTTATCATAAAATGATATTTTTTCCTTAACAAAAAAACTAAAAGTTTTAAACCTATAAAAATGGATGAATTGAATGGTAAAAGATGACCTCAAAGCAGGATGTTGAAAAAATTCACCAAATCATTGCAAATATTGACAAATCAAACACATTTTCATTAATATRTTATAGGATGTGGCTGTGGAAAATATCTGGGACTTTCAACAAGTTCCTTTATGATGGGATCTGATACCTGTGAAAAATTTGTAGAAATCGCTCATGAAAGAAATCATGAGGTTGCTGTGTGTAACAACTTAAAGCTACCCTACAAAGATGGCTGCGTTGATGCTGTTATCTCAGTGGGTGTTATACATCACTTTGCTTCTACAAAACGGCGAATTAAAGCTCTTCAAGAGCTTGGGCGCATCTTGAGACCTGGCGGAAAGATGTTGGTTTATGTCTGGGCCATGGAGCAAGATGAGAGGAAGGTAAAGATTTAGCTAAAATGTTTCCCTATATAATAACAAYAACACTATTTTTTTAATTTTCACCTCATTCATGACAAAATAACATAATTTTACACCTGTTTGCTTTGACTAGAAATCATGTGGTTCAAGTTATGATAATACTTTAGACACTAAATTTGGTAAYATCCTGGCAAACAAAATTTACAACATAATATTATTATTATTATATTATTCACCTTACTTTATGATTATTTTAGTTTGATGCACAAGATGTATTAGTGCCATACACTGGAAATAAAGAGAAAGGCAAGTTATATATTATTTACTTTTTTCACAATATTTATTAAAAGTGATTATTGAATTTAAATGGTTGTAAGCTCACTTCTGGTTGACTGATGATAGTCTTGATAATTGCATGCCACAATGTTTCGGCTGGTGACATATCATAGTTTTCATATTTATTTTGAATGTTTTATCAYAACACAGACATCAGTTTGATTATTTGAAGTAGCTTGTTGTTGCCAGAATTAATTATTTGAAAAAATGTCTTATTTCCTCACAGGTAAAAATAGGCGGCCAATTCATCAGCAAAGTCAGGATTCCTATTCCATTTCATCCTATAAACTGAGAAAAATAAATGGATATTCTGCAAAACGTCGCTCCAGGTCATGTGACTCCCTGTTTGATAAGTATCTTTCAGGTGACAATATGGATRAAGAGATTAACAGACAAAGCAAAGAWGACATTGTACCCTCAAGTATAGAGTTTAGAGCTTTAAAAGAGATTGTTGAAACCATCAAACAGAAGAAAGATTATCTTATTGCAAACATTAACTCAAAAGTCATGAAACTTTACCCAGAAAAAGAAAAGAGGTTTGTGAATGAGCTAGTTAGTGCTGTAGTAGGAAAAATCTTTGACAGAAATGTTGATGATAATGAAAAGATCCATCACGAATCACAGAAAAGATTGCCYAATATCTCACAGTTTGTTTCATCACTTGTCAAAMGAATCTTCAAAGATAAAAATGATGAAACACAACCAGATGACTATGTAGAGCCATTTYCAGATCCAACAAAGTGTGATGCTCTGTTGAAGGAAAATGAAGATGCATTTAAGCAAAGCTTGTATGAGAGTCTCTCTGCTTGGGCAAGGGAGAAAATGGCATTGCTGTCCCATGAACGACTTAAATCACTAAATGAAATAYCAAGAAAGGACTCCTTTGACAGTGAGAACAGTAGTGAGATTGATTTAGAATCTGGTTCATCTTATCTGTTGGCTAGTATTAATGATTGCAAAGACTCAACAGAAAGCAMAACACCAAACAAAACTCATTATAATGATAACATGGGAGTACTGCCSTGCGACACCGACAGCGATAGCTCTTCATCAACAGATTTATTGAACTCTGCAGACTCTGGTATTTCTGATAATGATGCTCCAACAAACTCCAACAAGCAAAGTACGCTTTCTTCAACATCTAGCAAAGCAACGACTTCAAAAAAGACAACTTTACAGAGATATTATCATGTGTTTAGTGCAAAGGAACTACCTGACCTAATTGAGGGAAGTGTGCAYGAAGTTAATGTTCTTAAAGAGTATTATGACCATGGTAACTGGGCCGTTATYGCTGAAAAACATTGATATGAATTAACTATCATATATTTGCTGTTTTACAAGAAAGTTATTAATATATTTATTTTTTAATTATTTATTTTTAGGGATGATTTTTAAAATTGTGAAAATTRAATACCAATTAACTGCATTAGTATATTGTCTATCATACAAGCCTCCTGTCCATAATTATAACACCTTTTAGCATTCATGCAGATGAGAGGCARTTTAATAAGAAGGACCAATTGTTTTAAACCACACACAAAAGAATTGAAGGCAAGGCTTTATGGAAACTGTAGATGATAATTCCAATCCCTGGAGCCTAATGTCTTCAGTCCTTTAGCTAATGGCCATTCAATCAGAATATATTGAAAGCCAGCTATTTTATTCAATAAGTCATTAATTTTATAATATGGTACACCATTTTCTCTATTTCAAACTATTGTATTCTTTCAATTTTATGATTTTATTAAAACATTTGCAGCCATGAAAATAGCTTCATAGAAGTCATTATATATTGTTAGTAATATTTCACAGATTTTTTAGCTTTAATATTATTAATAACAAAAACATTTACAAAGGTTACTGAATCACATGTCTAACTATTTATTTTAGCCAGTGTAACATAATAATTGTTTTTTGATTTAAATATAAATAGATTACATATTAATTTGATTTTTATAGATTTATGCTTTAAGTAATTAAAATTAGTAAAATTACTGGTGTGAGCCTACTAAAATACAAGTAGAACTGTCTTTCAAGTGCAAACAGCACTATACCACTCCCCTTAATTTYACTCGGCTGGTTTTTAGAGCACGTTTAGTCAAATTGTTATGACAGATTAGTTGACGTCATAATTAACTAAAAAAAATTGAAAACCAAGTGCTCTGCAATTCAGCTTCTGCTGTGAAAAGGATGAAAAATTAGACTGCAATCATTATAATCATTAAGCTGGTTTTTCTCCCTCTGTCAAATTAGCTGTGAGGGTCTGTGAGGAGTTTTGTAAACCAAAACATGTTGAGCAGGGTGAGAGGGTGAGTGATGGTAGTATTTAACTAAAACTGTTTACCATCTTTAAAAAAGTCGCTGTAGACGATCGGTTTACCTAATTTACCCCCTTATTGATTGAATTGCTTGACTGTTAGGTTAATTGGCTTGACTTTTTCTCATTTTTGTCCTATTTTTGATGGGATTCCTGTGTAGTTGTCACGTTTTGTTTGAGGAGGGAACTGGAACAAATTGTTACCGCTCAGTCCTATTTTTCTCAACCGCCATCAATGAGATCAAATATACTGGAATTTTCCCGGTCTTTTTTAAGCCCAACACGCAGATCTTAATTGGGTTTTGTATTGTCAACAACAATGATTTAACAGATCTTGAAAGGCAGTGCCAGAAACGCTGTAAACCTTTGCCCTGGACTATCAAAGAGAAAGTAAGCTTAAGCCCTACTCAAGCTAACTTAGTGTAATATTAATTGCATACAGCAAAATGGGAGATATTTTATTAGGTTCATTCACATATSAAGCAGAAAGCCTTCCTCAAAAAGCTTTTGAAATYCTGAATGAACTGTTTGAGGAGCAAAAACTATGCGATGTGTCCCTTCAAGTTGGCGATCAAAAAATTAAATGCCATCGCGTTGTCCTRGCATCTTGTAGTTCGTACTTTCGTGGAATGTTTACCAATGCAATGCTTGAGTCTTCTCAGGATGTCATTTCAATTCAAGGACTGTCAGASGTGGCTGTGATTCAATTGATTGGTTTTATATACACTCGGAAAATAACGATTAATATTGAAAACATCGAGGCTCTCCTCACAGCATCAGCTGTACTTCAACTTGACGAGGTGGTTCGTGCTTGCTGCGAGTTTATGACAAAGCACCTTCATCCTTCTAACTGTCTGGAGATGCGAGCCTTCGCTGAACTGCACGGATGTTTTGACTTTCTGCATGTTGCTGATGACTTTGCCAGGCGTCACTTCACTAATTTATCAAACACAGATATGTTTTTAAAGCTTTCACCAAAGCATTTGCTAGAAATTATATCAGGAAATGACTTGAATATCAAGCGTGAAGAACAGGTTTTTGAGGCTGTTATGAACTGGGYAACCTTTAAGCCAGATGAGMGGATTAATGTCCTTCCTGACCTTCTTGAACAAATTCGTCTACCTCTTTTGCCTACGAACTATCTCCTTCGCCATGTAGAATGCAATGAGCACATTCGGGACAATATGAGTTGTCGRAAGTATTTAGATGAAGCAAAGAATTACAAACTATGCCCTGAAAATGTCAGCTCTTTTAGAAATCAACCTAGGAAATCCACTGCTGGGACGCTCTTTTCTGTTGGGGGCAGAGGAAAGACTGGGGAGCCTTTCCAGTGCATTGAATGTTACGACTGGTTCAATGACACTTGGTTTTCAGTGGCTTCTCTGTCAACACCTCGCCGACATGTAGCTGTTGCTTCACTCMATGGATATGTTTACGCCATAGGTGGACATGATGGCTTACAGCATYTAAACTCTGTGGAATGCTTTGATCCTGCTAGCAATCAATTGTGTGAAGTGGCAGCAATGAATACGTATCGTAGAGGCATGTCTGCAGCCGTTCTGGAGGGAGTGATATATGTGGCAGGRGGTCTGGATGAGTCAACTTGTTTTGATACTGTAGAGAGGTAAGATAATACCATCCCCTCATAATGGTATCCAGAGTTTAGAGAACCCTCCCCCCCCCCTCCCTCTCCACTTGTTGTGACGACTGGGTTCATGCATCCTAACAGTCCATCAGTGCCCGACATGTAAGTTAAACAGGTAGCTATAAGATGTTTCTGAATGGCAAGTACATATATAATTCAGAAAGGAGCATTGATTTGAGAGTATCAGACTCATGCCCAGTCACTTCTATTCAGTTGGWGTGCAATGCATGAAGGGAAGGACTTATGAAATGCACGAAGCTTTTTTTCTCTCCTTCCCACCTGCCCCTTCAATTGTATCGAAAAATAAAGTGTAACGACCAGGTAATAGTCTGTGAGAGTACTTGATGCCATTTCAAGGTTACTTCTCATTATAAAAATAATAATACTTCAAAGTAAGACAGTTTCTTAACCAGTTTTACACATATTTGATTGTAGGTATGATGCAGAAAGCAATGAATGGAGCATAGTAAGTCCCATGCAACAAAAGCGTGGTGGTGTTGGTATTGCTGGTTTAGGTGGCTACCTCTATGCTGTTGGTGGAAATAATGGATCTGTGTCATTACAATCTGTAGAACGATACAACCCTCACACTAACAAATGGTCACCAATGGCTTCTATGAACAGGMGGAGAGCAGGTATTGTGCAATAATTTCAGTAATTCTGAATGATGTTTTTCGCATTCAGATTGCAGTCATACAGCCACATGTCCTGGATATATGCTTGCTATATTTATTGTAGTTTGAACACTATCAAATATATATATATATATATGTTATTTACCGGCTGGGAGGTCTGTATAGGAAAACACTGCCCGAGGTCTTGAGAGTACGGAACGAGCACAGCGAGGCAATGTTTTCCTATATAGACCGACCTATAGCCAGTAAATAACATTTTTATTTTTATTTTATGCAACTTTGTTCGCAGCCTAGCTGCAGGATACCGTCGGACCTGGCAGATCGTGAAAAACCAGACCACGCGCTAGCCAATCACGGCTCGCGAATGACTAGGATACCGGACCAAATAAAAATAAACTCTGATCTTTCTATACAGGAGTAGGTGTGGCTGTCATTGGACCATACCTATATGCCATAGGTGGATTTGATGATTCATCACCTTTGAACTCTGTTGAAAGGTTTGATCCTTCCACAAATCAGTGGACCTACATTGCAAGTATGACTACCTGCAGGGGTGGGGTAGGGGCTGGTGCTATGGGTGAGAATATTTGGGCTGTAGGAGGCCACAATGGTTCCCAGTACCTTGGTTCAATGGAGTCATACAACCCCAGAGAAGATAAATGGGTACTGCATGCTGAGATGACCACACCCAGAGCAGGATCAGGGGTGACTGGATGCCTGTGTGATGTCCAATTACTTCGTAGTATAAGTACATTGCATGGCTGTAATGCTGGTGAAGATTTGAATGAATGCCAAGAGACTACAGGTAGTGATGACTTGTAAGAAATGATACTAGTATTACTGTATCATAAGTACCAAATTTCAAGGCAGTCATATGATTTAACAATTACATTTGTAGATCTTGAGGGCAAGTGGACTACGAGCTGATATCTCATAATCCATGAGGCCAAGAGATCTAATTGTTTTAGTATTACCATACTAGTGGGACAAAAACTGAATTAAATATATAAGTAATCAAATTTTTTCTTTTTGCAAAAAATACGCAAAAAGTTGTCGCTTTTCGCTAGTCAAGGACTATTGAAAGTAGACACCAAGTAGCTTAGCCAATCAGAACGAAGGATTTGCAATAGTCCACTAGTATGGTAATACTAAAGAGTGGTAGACTCTTTGACTAGGGGTAGTATTGACTTGTCTTAAAGGGGTGACCATTAACACTTTGTATCATAAGTACATTGAATGGCAGTCWTGTTGATAGAGAGGTAGGCTTTTTGACTAGGGGAAGTATTAACTTTAATATTTTAAGAGATAACGTGGTGACAAGAAGTTATTAAATTATTTATTTAGTATAGTTGCAATTTTTGGGAGTTTCTCAGAACTCTTAGGGTAACAGTAAGTAATAACCATCTTACAATATGAAGGTACGTATACTTGTATATGAAGTGGTTATTAAAACTAGAAATAAGTTATAGTCAATAATGATGTCATTTACAAACATAAGATTTTCAAAGATTATTGTTATTTGAAGGATTTTTGAAGAAATTTAATTATGAACATGTTTACTTTTGATATTATATAACATTGATAACATATTTTCAAAATTTGTAAAATACATTGTATAAAAACTTTAAGATACAAATTCATAGTAATGTGAAAATAAATATATTTAGTTTATCATCTTCATCTTTTACATAAACCTGTAGGGTCTCATAATGGTGAGCTATAAATGAGAAAAATATTGCATTTCCTACAACTGGTCAGACTTGCTCAAAGTCTCTTTCATTGTTCCTGAAACTGATTCATGGAGTTCCTCTGCTAATATTATTAAATTTTGGGTTTCAAAGAAAAAAATTTCACAGGCAGCCCAAGAAACAAAACATTCACAAGCAAAACTTGGAGCACATTAAACATCAAAGAGCTGCTTGTTTAATTTTGTGAAGGATTTCAGACTTGTATGCATTCCAATTCACTTTCTGTTGAAGGCTTTGTTGTAGAATATCTTTTGAAGGATATGGTAAAACCTGTAGATGATACAATTATTGAAAAAAACTGTATTTGATCATGATTATTAGCTCAMGTATTTCTGAAAGTTTACTACACATTTTTTCATCAAAAACTGTTGGCTATGCTGCAGACTTATTCAGAAATGATTGTAATCCCAACTTAGCAGAATGAARACATGCAACTTTATAACTCTTTTACATTTTTATACTTACATTTTGACGAATCCATCTTTTTGTTGGTTCTCTTGCATTTGACACGAAAAACTTTTTAGATATCATCACACATTCAGCTCCTCGACTCACCTTAAAACAGTCAATAAAYTGTTTAACAGACCTTAATAATGGTTTAGGACTTATTTGTTCATTAATTTGTTCATTCGTTCGTTTGTTCATTCATTCATTTACAAACTTCAATCTCTAATGTTTTACTTACTAAACTCACAGGCGCTGAATCTTTATTTGGGTCACCAGTATTGTCAAAATCCAAATTTGACAGTCCCTGAAACAATTGGCCAGAACTAGAATTACACTTGAATTCTTTATCATAACATGAAAAGATTAAGGGACATGTTAGCCATGGTCAATGGGCATCCCTTACAAGCTAAGCTTGTATGCATATGTTATGTTTATATTAACACAGCCTCATTGAATGCTAGTGAAACATGTCCTATTACCTTCTACATGCGATAACCCACTATGTCGTGTCCCTAACTAATACATGCAATACTYACAAATGCACTTCTTGGATGTAAAAAGTCAATTCTCACAAATACTGGTTTCTTTGGCTGCWTGCTTTTCTTAATTTTGAATTCAGTGACAGGATACTAGAATTATAGGATGCAAAATAGGGTATAAAGTAAATCTGTTGCAGGGAGGTGTGGGTTCATGATTAGGGGGAGGGGGTCATGATGAGGGAGGAGGAAGAGGAGGAGGGTTTCAATACTGTACCGAAGGCAGGTTTTGTAAAATTACACAAGTATTGTTTTGGTTTCATTTATTATTACATACTTACCAAACTGGTGTTAAGTGTTGCCTGGCTGTTTGAATCTTCTAATGTAGATGATAATGCTGTAAGAGAAAAAAAGTTAATTCAGACTAGTCATCCACAAAGAACTTCTGTGAGGACAATTTTTCAATTTCCTTCTCTAAATTTCAATTTGCTGAATGATTCCAGCATGAAGCATTAACTTCATGTTGGGGGTTCTTCATCACCTTGATGTCAACAAAATCAACTATTTGAAATTGAACTACTGGATCCAGACTTGACTGAGTTGATGTATAGATAGTCGTAACTATTTTAATTGTTTTGTTGTTTTCTTTTGTTTTACAGTCATTCCGATATCACTAACTACAATTTGTGTAATATCATGTCATTGCTTGACCTTTTTTATGATAAAGCTTTACTTACAAATTGTTGTGATAGCAGATTCACTGAGGACGGACTTAACACATCGTCTATTACTAGTCTCACTMAAAGCTGACTTGACAGATCTTCTATTAGCGTCACTATTTGCTGACTTCACWGAACGTCTATTACTGTCATTGACAGCTGACTTGACAAATCGTTTATTGGTCTTATTGGATATTGAACTTCCCATCCTTATTATACTACCATTTGGAATTTGACACAAACTTGGACTCTCTGGAAGTAAAATATGTTTTCTCACTGAAAATATAACCGGACTATAACCTGAGCATCAACAGGGAGAAAGAMCGGGAGTGGACTTTCTSTGGGTTCTCCTCCTTTCTCCCAGGAATTCTTCAGGGTTCTCCTCCTTTCTCGCGARTCCCGTTTTTCMTTTMCTTCTACAAGTGGCAGATTTTACATATCTATTATAGATAGTGCAATGCTATTTTGGCAGAAACAAAAGCGCAAATCGAAGCAAATCATATTGCGTTATGAACAAGAAATGCTGCAAATATATTTTTCTATCTTCAATTTTTTACGATGAAAAGAGTTGTGTCAACACGTGTTAAGAGTGAAATTGTGCTGGGAAACTCTTCAAATACAAATACGTGTGGACGCAAATTGTCTTTGTATCRGGAAAAAAAACAGACAAAAGTGTGGGTACAAACTCGGGGTGGATACACTTTTACTGTACTGACGTACGGACGAAGCGTTTTCAACAACAAATTATTTCTAATCCATTGTGTGTTTTTAGGGAAAATAAACGAATGAGTATTACAAACCTTTTATTTTTTCATCCCATCCTGTTCTTCGTTTGYTTGGTGAGCTGTACGAATACTGGCTTTTACAAAAACGATCTTCTGTCAAATATGCCAGCATTTCTACTTGTGAAACTCCAGCGTCTATTTGTTTACCCGTAAGCTTTGGAGTGACGCCTTCTAAGGTTAACAGRACTTCACACATGCCCTAATGATAGATTCCATAGTAAGTCAAAAAGGTTCAGATTGTAAGTTTGGGWTCACAAATTATACTGGTTGTTTTAGTTGGTTTCAACTGATCGGTTTTTGAACCGAATCAAAATTTACCGCGCAAGAATCATCGCTTCTTCACAAAAACATGAAACAATGTTATCCCCCAAAAATCTGCAATTTTTCAACAATGTGTTGCGATCTTACCGAGACAACGATGTACACCCACTCTGATGCACGACTGTCTTTGACGATAACGGTACCTCGCCTATTAATATAACACATTTAAGGTTTTACAGAAATGACAATAATGGTTATTAGTAAATAATGTTTTTAAAAACGTCCCCATAGCTATACTATCAAGCCGAGGATTTTTTGAAGTTGGTATAAGTTCGACACTAAATRATCGATTAACTGACTGATTGATTGATTGACTAATTGACTGATTGACAGTGGATGATTCATCGATCGTTTGCCGGCTTTGATAGATGYTGATTGGTTGATCGCAGGTTGTATTCTTATATTTTGTTTGCAGAAAGAAAGGACAATAAAAATAAATAAAGAAAGAAATAAAGAAATGTTTTATACAAACCTGAAGTAATGAAACATACAGTTAGCTGTGTTATCAATTAACAAATCCACAGGAAAMGCTGTTAGAAAATCCAGAGTTCTGTGGATGAAAAGAGAAATGAAGAATGCATAAAGGTTAGACGCTCTTAGTGCGTTTACTCTCGAGAAACGTGACAAAGTCTGGTACTATATCGTGAGATTTCGCTCGTTTCTTACCTGCAAAACTTAATGTGTGAAGGTTCTTCACCATTTTTACTTCGTCCCATAAAAATTCTTTGATAGTCCTTAAATAATTGGCAAAGATTTTGAGTATTAGTTGGCTATATTACGAGAAGGAACACTGACTCATTTAACAATTCTATATGGATTTCCTCTGGAGGATACCAGCGGTTTTATCTGTAAGCTTGTTGTTTGTATTAAACACTCTATGGTGTCGACTTGAAGTAGCTTGAAGTAGCTGGTAAAGCACTGGTATATAGATCACTGGTCTGCTGTGCAGATTATAAGGATGCAGCCTTCCTGGTCGACCAACGCTCGAAGTCTTAATATGTAAGCTTGTTGTTTGTAACACTCTATGGTGTCGACTTGAAGTAGCTTGAAGTAGCTGGTAAAACACTGGTATATAGATCACTGGTCTGCTGTGCGGATTATAAGGATGCAGCCTTCCTGGTCGACCACCTCTCGGGGTCTTAATATAACCAATATGATTCTGCCTCAGTTTCGTTCAAAAGGCAACTGATATCACATCTTAACGGATAAGGATGAAAGCCTTTTGCAATATTATATTGTTTTTGAGCAAGTATTATAAAGATTATCTATCAAGCTCACCTCTCTTGCTATGACTAATAATTGTACAGGGTCTTTCGAGACRACTGTGGCCGTTCGTGGACATCGCTTTAAAATCGCTGTGTCCTGGAGAATGCCAACAATAAGATGATTGATAGATAGTTTTATTACTTTCACCAGTCTGGAGGTCTGGGACAGTCTTAAAAGTGTGTTGTTGTTTTTTTTTCAACATTCAAGTTCGCGCACCTGACGATATCCGTATGATTGTAGTTCGATTGGCGGCAACTAATAAAGCCCGTGTTATGCAGGCTATATATAACTGCACACAGTGCGCGATGAGAATAGAATCATGAATATTAACGCATCGGCCCACTGAGATTTTTAAGTAATGTTTAAAGGCCGACAATGAGGACTTGACGGGGTTTCAAAGTCCGCGCAATTAGTTCCAGTCCTCGGCTAACGCCTCGGACTGGAACTAATTGCAAGGACTTTGAAATCCCGTCAAGTCCGAATTGGAGGCCTTTGAACGACTTCAAAAACTCATTAATTATTCGGGAGGGAAAAAAAGCGAAGGAAATACATATAACAGAAATATATTGATTTATTGCATCTCCACTAAGGTTTTCAGTTTTCATAATTTTGAATGCATGAAGCACCGTTTGTTGTTCTTCAATTCCCGGACGGCTTTCTGAAACAAAAGCTATTCAAATTGTCTTTGTCTGCTATTCATGGCATTCCTAATGAGTCTAATCCATAAGATTTATAAGTATGTTATCTTCCGAGGAATCGCATCAGAAACTCGGTGGCGTAATGGTATAAGACGGCGCATATAGACTGGACGGTAGGGGATCGAGTCGTGAGGGAGTCATGTATCAAAGACCTTTTTTCACTAAATTAATGTTAAACTGATTATTTCTAATAATTTGATTATCATTAGCTAGTAGTAGTTGGAAACATGNCGATGAAAAAATAAAATCAATATAAACGCATAGCGCAACGGAGAATTTAGCCCATGCTTTAAAAACCGCAGAGCGCGATGAAGAAATAATCAATATAAACCCATCGCGTTTATGGCTCATTGCCTCTTCTCTARAGTCTAAAATAAAACACTCAAATTATGYTCTCACCCCAAAACTGTGTCCTCTTCTTAACGTGGCGAGGGAAGTAAAAGGCCCATCGGCAGTTGGATCGTTTTCTGATAAAACCGTCACTAGAAAGCCACATGAATATTAAGTTAATAAAAATAAAATAGAGAACATGTGGAATGCTAATCTCACCTGTCCCCGACATAATAAAATAAAAGTTTTCAGCAAAATGTCCCTGTTTCACTATAATCTTGTTTTCTGAAAGACTAAGACAAATAAAGGTTATTTTCTGTCCTAAAGAAAAATCGGTTGAATCCAGACGATACCCTGCGTGGCTGCTCTAGGGGAGGGGAGGGGAGGGAGAAGTGGAAGTGGAAGTGGAAGGGGAGAGTGTTGTTCGAAGGAGGGGAAAAAACCGAAGTTTTTTGTTTTATTTTGTTTTTCACCTCCGCCGTCCACCCCTCCCCCTTCCGTTTCACCTCCTAGGCTACCCAGACGACTTTGATCTCGCTGATTATAGAGCGGTACTTTTGACATGTTGAAGGATGCAAGAAAGATCGCCATGCAAGACCAATGACTACTGCAATTCGGATTTTATACCACTAAAAACAATATATAATGCAAACCTTTGATGCCATGCTACTTTACAAATAGCCTCCTGCATGTGTATTGGTAGCTCGGCGAATGCTGAAAGCGTTTGGCAGGCATACAGCAACTATAATAAAAGGCATATAGAACATTCTATGATTATAGACATGAAATACATGCACGGAGAGTATAGAGTTTAGGGACGGCAACCATTGTAAACGTTGAATGGTGTGGACAATTGTCAATTCAGTAACCACTAAACGTTTCTGATGAGAGTGCGTTTTCTGTAAAGCTTGGCAATTATGAATTTCACACCAGCAAAATAGTCTATGTGTTATATTGATGGTGGGAGTGCACTTGAAATGATATCCGAATGTTGTACCGGAAGGCGTGGCAATTCACTGATACAAGGTGTATCTACCGTTTGAAGCTGGTCCGGTGTCCTCTCTTCAAATCTCAAATTTAGAATGTTTCTAACTTCCTTACTGATCTGAATCTATAATCAAAAAAAGATGACAAGTTAACGTACAGTTTAAGAATGTATAAGACGCGACCGTCTAACAAATCAAGTTCGTTCCTGGCCGGCCTAATATGGGAGATGACAATGTTCCTCATGACTCTTCACACTATGACAACCTGTATTGTGGTGAGAGGAAAAATAACCGAGCGAGGAGGTGTCAAAACCCTGCGTCCCATTATGACAAGCAAGGTATTGACTTACTATTTTTACACTACTGACTTATGGGAACCCATTACTGGACTCTCACTCTGAGCGAGTAAAAGTAGTTTAAGTCTCACTTGAACATTGTCCATAGCTAGGCACCATACCTCTTTATTAGCTTTAAATAGATTCGGGTCAAACAGACCGGGACCAGTGTCTGCAGGAAGACTGGTGACAAATGTCTTATTCTTCATCATCATATAACCTTCCATCATTTCGAGATAAGATTTACATATTCCTTCACCAAGATCACGCTTAGGATCGCTTTTTAARGCGTTGGCGACTTTGAGTATGGTTCGTACTATTCTAACAATCCTTCTGAACGCTTCTAGAGGCTAAAAAGAAACAAAAACAAATGTAATTATGAAAGAATTTATATGCTTTAAATATATATTTTTTAAATATGTTTTTTTTTTCATGTGGCATTACTCAGAATTTTGATTGACGGAACTCATAGGCTCAACTCAAGGCTGGCGTAATTGTTAAAACTGCARTAATTCTATTGTCACAAATCATTGCTTGATTTTAAATCTGCATAGCATGCTCCATATCCTAGGGTAGAGATAACTCATTAAAATGTCRTTAACTATTGGCACTGTCGTCAATCCAAGGAAGGTGGAATTTCATAATTACTTTTCAAGTATATTTCCATATGTAGCGATGAGCAAATGTAAACTCACGCCGGCTCATCTCACGCGATCAATCGTGGTGGCAAGGAATACAATCAAGACATTTTATATAATCAAAAAAGTTTATACTACAAATGTTACTTTTTTCAGACGTTTGAAACCATGCCTCCCCAACAAGTTGAATAATTCTAATTTTCCGTTTTCAACACTCTTCTCTTCAATTTTAACTTGGAATTTATCAGCGTATTGACATGTATTGAATTGATACAGATTTTGTTGTAATTTTTGTTACTTTGTTACTTTTTGAATCATTTCTCGTCATCTCGACCCATAACGAATGAACGTGCAAGACGTTACTTAGCAACTGAGCCGGTCGAAAGTTCAAAAGCTTTGAAAATGTCATCCTTTCAATAAAAAAAGTAAAAAAGGTTAATTCTAATCTAGCTATTGGAATTATTATTATCATTATAAACATTAAATCTAAAATGGAGTTTCAAGGACCCGTGACCCGTTACAGTTGTGATCCGGTTGGAACCAAAAAACTAATGAATAAATCGCATTATACGTGATTTATGCCAGGCAGGCGCGTACGTGGGATGGCAAACGAGCCAGCGTGTATACTGACAATATATAAAAATATAACATGGCTGAGGTTAATGACCACTTTTAGCAATCGATGTAGCTCCCCGGAATCACTGTTGATCTTTACTGACTCGATCACATCAAAACCAAACCTTAAAGTCAGCYCTTCTTTCCTTGATTTCCAATAAAGTCGTCTTCCATTTATCTACACAAATCTTGACTTCATGAATGTGATCATTGCTATCAGAGTCTGTCTTCACTTTAGAAATGAATACAGGAGCTCTTGATCTTCCAGGCGAGTGGCTTTCCTCTAGAAATGTAGCTTTGGCCTGGGCTACYAGCTCTCTCCATTTTCTATACTTCAAATGTCCTTTATTGTCCCAGAGACTGGACATGCTTTGTGCACTACTTCTTGTGCATGTACTGGACGTACCTTTTGCTCGCATGCCGGGACGAATGGATTGTTTTGTTGGTAAACGGCTTGAGTGCATTGTTATTTAACACAGCGCTGCCTTGTCAAATGAAGTTAGTAAAATATAAACCTTGTCCAGTGGCTAATGTTATCAAATTTCATTCAGTTTTGACAGGAATTGAGATGAATCAGATCATGAGGGRTGCCCTGTGTGACTAATCGTTTGTTTTTCTTGGACGTCACTTCGTTGTCAGAAAAATGCATTRCAAAAAGCAAAGGTTAAGATACAGTTCATTTTAATRTTATCTGATTTTGTACGTGCAGAAGTACTTGCCCAAAATGTAAAGGTCAGARACTTGGTGATAAACGTTATCAGTTTCGAGTGGCGTCAAGAATTTTCCTTTCGCCATGTGCTTCTTTAAATGCTTTTATTTTGGGACAATGCCACGGTTCCCCGACAATCTTAAGTGTACTTAAAAGTAGGTACACTAATATATCTCTAATATACATTCACAGGGAGCACAGGCTCTTTATCAGTGGTTCTTATGTAACCACCCCTCCCCTCTATATTTTACCGTTATTTTACGATTTTGTATGATGTTATTGAATCGTGAATTTCTTACTTGGATTGCAATGAAATCACACAAAACTATCACATCCTGTTATTGATGCATGCACCAATCTCCTGGAGAAGTTTCAGCTGATTTGGTTGAGTTGATATACCTTTCTCCTCACCAAAGGTAGAAAACTCAACCAAATCGGGTGGGGTGTGGTTACATAAGAACCACTGATAAAGAGCCTGTGCTCCCTGTGATACATTGTACGTGCAGGGGTCGGATCACAGAAATCAGAAATTTTGAAAGGGAGGACACATATACAGCCTCTGTCTCTCTGTCTGTCTGTCTGTCTGTCTGTCTGTCTGTCTGAATTAAGCAGACCACATGCTGAAGAGTTCCATCCCGGTCTCTAGATGATTGACTTGAATGTGTCTGTGGCGGTGGTGCTTTTTTATATCTAAATTTAATCTTTTTTTAACTTAGTGAGACAAGTTTTAGGATTTGCAATCATTCATATAGCCAAACAGTGGAAAATCTGGACCGGTTTTTGAAATCCTGCATGGATCCCGGCCACTGTGTGTGAAGAGGGTGCGTCTCCATACGTAGTTTTGCGACACTAGAGTGACGTATTACTACGCGATAGTGCGTATAAAATGCATGGGCACACAATTTAAGAAAAAATGGTTACTATGTTGAAATCTCAAAATTATTTAAGTAATAGTTCAAAAAAAATAGTAATAATATCTAATAATAAGATGCTTTACCTCAAATTATTATTTTTCTTTTTTCTTTCTTTCTTTCCCGTATATATTTATCAAGTATTTATCAAGCATATATTTTCCTCATACTCTTCTATTGTTATTGCTCAACTGTAAAATATTTTTAAGTTCTTCTAACATCTAACCTGCCTAGACTAGCCGTTTTTGGTATATGCAGGTTATATGTGTTTTTGTCAAATATTACCGAAGTTATAATAAATCTGAAATCTGAACTTTCCACTAGATTCACTCTTAGTCTAAAAGATTGCTATTCTAATTCGTTTGATGATTATTATACTTAAGTTTTTGCTAAGTTTACATAGCTATATGAGTTTCTTCTCATCACCCTTCTACAATAGGTGTAGTCATTGGGTGCTTTCCATTTAGGCAGAAC